GGGGAGGGCGAGGGGCGTCATGAATAGTCCCCTGCTGTTGCTTGCTCCCTCTCTTCCTCTGAGAAGGGCGAGGAGCGTTATGAATAGCCCTCTGCTGTTGCCTGCTCCTTCTGTTCCTCCTGTTCGTCCTCCTCCTTTTTCCTCCGCGAGCGCCGGGGGGGAGGATAAGGGAGTGGGCAGGATGAGGAGGAGGATGAGGGAGATGGAGTAGGATGGAGGGAGGAAGGGAGGAGAGGCCCGGACAATGGGAAGGATAATGCCGATGGGAAGGACAACTTTGATAAGAATGGTGATGATGATGGCTGTGGTGCTAATGGTGCACCGTGATGGTGACGATGCTTGAGGTCGTCAGAAGAGAAGGATGAGTATAGTGGCCTCCTGTTCACTCCGCCACCGTGCCTAGATCGTGGAAAAACTCTTTGAGGCCTCTTGAAGACTTCTTGTGAACTTCATTTGGGCCTCTTGGGCAATCCTTTGGCGATCCTTGGGCGATCCTTGGGCCTCTTGGGGGCCCCTTGGGGGCCTCTTGGGCGATCCTCGGGCCCCTTGGGGGCCTCTTGGGGGCCCCTTGGGGGCCCCTTGGGGGCGATCCTTGGGCGATCCTTGGGCGATCCTGGGGCCTCTTGGGGGCCTCCTGGGCGATCCTCCTCGGCCCTCGCCGCGGCGCTCGCCGCGGCAGGCCCCGCGCGCCCCGCCCGCGTGCTCCCCGGCCTGCCGCGGCCCCAGTGCCGCGCCGGCGGCACGGGCCCGGCACGGCACGCCCTCGCCGGGCGCGCGCGCTCCACCGCTCGCGGAGTGCCCGCTCGCAGACTTCGAGAAGCGCCCGTCTGCTCCGATGCAGTTTCTCGCAGGTCCCCTGCGGCGGGTCCGGGCCATTTGCGAGCACCGTGCCGTTTTTAAGACACATGCTCCGCGAGCGGATCGTGTATGAAAGATGCAGGGATTTAGTATAAAAAACAACGATGAGTTCATGCATGAATTTATTCATACATTGATCATGTATTAAAAATTCAACATTCTTGAAAATCCTACGTATTAGAAACTGCCCTGTAGTTACTTGGCGAGTAGTGGGACGCGCTCGTCTAGCGCTGGACCCTCTTCGCAGACCCGTCGGCACCGCCAGCACGTTCGGGGAGACGCAGGCCGAGCCCCTGCAAGCGGGGCGTTGGCAGGCGGGCCAGTAGCCAAGGGTGCGCTTCCAAGGGTGTTTTCAAAAAATGGACTTGCCGCGCACGAGTGCGAGGTGAATCCCCTCGCCCAGAGTTCCGACGACGTGTCGACGTTTTTGTCGTCCCGATGTTTCATGCACGCCCCGTTCTTGCTTGAAGAGGCCCCTGGGCTGCCCGATTACTAACGCCCCGTTTGCAGGAGTTTGGGTAAGACTCGAGTACGGCAGGTTCGTGCCGCGTTGACCGACGGCGACCCTGCCGCCGGCGTTCTACCTGACACCCCGCTGGCGACCCAGGATCGTTCGATGTTGGGCGATGTAACGTTTCGGAAACGGCCGATTGTTCCAGGTTGAGCGATCCCCGCGGTGTCGGAACCAAACGCCAGGGTCAACACGACACGAACACGCGGTACGCCAGAACTCTGGTTTGTCGACGCCTGTTGGCGAGCGCGTCCAGGATTTTGACGGCCAAGTTTCCGCGGGATGTCTGCAGCGGGAGCTCGCTTCAAATTTCAGATTGAGTCTCGTCATTTTCATGATGGCCCCGTCAGGCCAACCCGAGTCCCCCGAACCCGAGTCTTACGTTTCCCCGACATGTGTCCACTGCACGTGAGAGGAACCTCTCGCCAGAGTGACCGCTCTCGGACGGGGCCAGGACGATAATAAATCCGTTCCAGAGCGTTCCAGGGCGCTCTCAGAGCGTCTCGGAGCGCCCTGAGAAGGCCGCGGCGCCTGAGACGTCCTCCAGAGCCGCCAGATCTCAGAGAGTCTCGATCTACCCTCACCCGATTTTCTCCACGTCCTGGCTTCGTCGTCTAGGAGGGACATCTCGCCAGAATGACCGTTGATGCGGGCATACTGGGGCCCCCCGATTTGGGTATAGCCAGGACCCCAGGTAAGGGAACCCGGGTAGTGGTAGGGCCCCGGAGCCCTAGATTGGCCAGGATCACCAGACAAGGTCTGCCGTAACCTGTGTTTTTGTTGGGGCGACGGCAGTTCTGGCTAGTGGAACGGGGCGGGGGGGGGGCGTCCCCCAGTTCGCATCACCAGAGCAGGTCCCACTAAACTTCAGTCGGGCCTGTCCCTCTGCAGGGGGAGTGTTCAAAAATTGGGAAACAGTAGTCGGGGGACTATTTTTTTGGGCATCTCTTGAACATTTTTTGAGCATCTTGTACTTTTCGTCCAACATCCCCCCATAGGGGGACAGGCCCGACCTAACACGAAACCCAGTTCTGCTAATCACCACCCACCAGACCACCCCAACCCAACCCGAAGGCTCAGATTTACCTTCGATTTCCAGTGGGGGGGGGGGTCGGGAAACATCGAAAAAACACCTGTGGAACCCTTACCCCCCCCCAACCCGAAATTCGGGTCTTCGGGTTGGGTTGGGGTGGTCTGGTAGGTAGTCAGCCAACGCCCCCCCCGAGGGCCGAAGGCGGTGCCGCGGCCGCGGCCCGCGCGCCCGGCCTCGGCCCTCCCGCGCGCGCCCCCTTCCGAGCGCCGCGCGCCGGCGGTCGCCTCCTGTGGCCCGCGGTCGCCTCCCGTGCGTGTGTGGTCGGGCGTGTGGCCGCAGCCTGCCTGCTCCGCTCGTGAGCGGAAGGGAATCGACTCGGGCCTGTCCCTCTACTCCTCCTCCTCCTCCTCCTCCTCCTCCTCCTCCTCCTCCTCCTCCTCCTCCTCCTCCTCCTGGCCCGTCCCTCGACAGGAGGAAGCTTCGAAAGTGGGGGGCGAGTCTTCCGCCATTCCCTGAAGGCTTCCCAGCCCTCCTGTGGTGTCGGGCCCTCGTTTTCACGAGACAGCGCCCCGCGTCCTCACTCTCCTCCTCCTCCTCCTCCTCCTCCTCCTCCTCCTCCTCCTCCTCCTCCTCCTCACCTCCCCTCCTCCTCCTCCTCCTCCTCCTCCTCCTCCTCCTCCTCCTCCTCCTCCTCCTCCTCCCCCCTCCACCTCCTCTCCCTCCTCCTCCTCCTCCCTCCCCCCCTCCACCTCCTCCTCCTCCTCCTCCTCCTCCTCCTCCCTCCTCCTCCTCCTCCTCCTCCTCCTCCTCCTCCTCCTCCTCCTCCTCCCCCCTCCACCATCGTCATCGTCGTCATCGTCTTCGTCACGCCCCTCACATGTTTCGTGGCCCCATACGGAGCTCCACCGAAGGCCCCAGTGCCACTGTCCATATCCGTCCCCTGCACCCATTTCGGCACACCTCACACGTTTCGTGGCCCCATAGGGAGCTCCACACAAGGCCCCAGTGGCATCGTCCACATGCGTCCGCCACACCCATTTCGGCACACGTCTCACACGTCTCGTGGCCTCATTGGGGGCTCCACCCAAGGCCCCAGTGGCATCGTGCACATGCGTCCGCCACACCCACGTTGGCACATCCCACACGTTTCGTGGCCCAAGGCCCCAGTGGTATCG